GAAAAAAGAAACAAAAACAAACTCCTTGAAAAAAGAATGCCACGCCTGTCGCAGGTGCAGGCGTTTTAGCATCGGGGGCGTTTTTTATCGGGGGGCGTTTTATCATCCTCGAAGGGAGGGCCTCTTAAAAAATGCAGTGTTTTAACGTCACAATCTTTATGGTTTATGAGACATTTGCAGCGCACCAGAACATGGTCTATTCTGAAGCTAACATGTGACAAATTTCGATGAGATAAGATTGCATTTGATAGCCATTGTTTTTCAGATATATAAGGGTGATAAAGATGCATATATCTGGCAAGTAAAGGGGCAAAAAACAGAAACAGGCTTACCAAAAGTCGCTGCGACGCACCTGATACCTCAGGTTTCGTGAGTTGTTGTTTCAAGAGGGCTTCTGCTTTACAAGAACATTAAAAAATAAATAACATTATTGGTTTGGTAAAAAAGCGATGGGGCCTCTTACCGACCCTGGGCGTCTTACACGGATCTCCCCTACTGTCATTTAAATCTAAATGTCCTTTGACAAAGCAATTGACCTTTAAGATATGCACTGTTATTAACTCGAAACAGATTATTTTGGCGGTTTATGTGTCTTTAATCAAGTGGTTGCCTTTTGCTGAGAACAAGGCATACACGCCGCATATCACCACCAATACCGCAACACAGCTTAGATTTCAAAGTTGGCATTAATTCTTACCCGTTTTGACAAAGAAGGGAGCTGTCCTCATCACGCTTTTTCGATGCACGTTTGCCAGCTAAGTGACTTGTTCTCTCTCAAATTGTGTTGGTGGGTAAGGTAGTAGGTATGTACCAACTGATTTCAGAGGATCGTATCAGCTTGGAAGAGCTCGCCCTTAAACTGCAGAGCAGTTGGCCGGGCAACTAGGGGAGACCGGGGTTATTTGGGCCAGTTTTTACTTTAACCCGCGCCGGGCCGGTGCTCTGAGATTCCGCGCCGGGCCGGGGGTGTCTGAACACCCCCTTCTAACTCGGCTCCTGGGCCACGTAGCGACACGCTGTAAGCGGCAATCGAAAGAACGTCCAAAATGAGGACGAAAACATGTCGGTCATTTTTTGGGTCAGGTCAAAGGTCAGGTCACCAGAGGTCACCAAAGGTAAAATGTTGACTATTTCAACATTTTGGAAACTGCCAACAGCTATCTCGGGAACGGATAGAGCTACAGCGCCGCGGAAAAGCGCATTTGATAGCACATTTACAGACCTTTCTGAGTAATGTTCTCAGATTTGATCTCAGGTCAATGGTTTAGCCTCCAGAGGGCAAAAACTCCGAAAATAGCCGTTTTTACGAAAAGCGTTTTTTTTAGCAATAACTTCTGCCTCAAAAGAGCTATGACATTACTTTTGCCAGCATCGTGTTTCTCTCGTCGAGACGCGTCGAATGAACTATAATTTGACCTTGAAAGGTTAACCTGAAAATTTGACCTCAGGTCAAGGTCATGACCTGACCGGAAAAGGTCATGTTGCATATAAGTCGATCCGCAACGTCGAGCCTAACACATCTAAGGCGTTCTCAGCGCTCTAGCACGCCTCCATCAGAAGTTATTAGCAAAAAACTGTTAGATTCTGCTCGTGATCTGAGATGACCTCGGGGACATAATGAGGGGTCACAGTTGCCATTTTCCGGTTCAATGTGTCAATTTTACCTACATCGCGATGTTTGAGAGTGTCTAGAATAGCGCTTGTGCAAAACAGACGCTTTTCAACTTTCTCCCATTGACTTATAATGGAGAGGCCGCAAAATTGACCTGACCTTAGGTCACCGATATCAAAATTCTGAGATATACATTTTATAGATAATGTTGTTCTAATTAATCGCTGAAAGTTTCAAGGCAATCGATCAATCGGTGTAGCTATGATGAGCATTCTTATTTTTCTGAGGTGAGGTCACTTGGCGTGACCTGGTGACCTGACCTAAGGAGACCTGGGTCTGAAATTTTCACAACATGTGCGGAAAAGATGCACGAACAGGTGTGCCAGAACGGGCGTGAACAGGTGTGCCGCAATTTTTGAGATATCTGCGAAAAACCGCAGTGGGGTGTTCAAACACCCCCGGCCCGGCGCGGGTTAAGCGTCATAACTTCGGTATAACTATTGAGTATACATATCATTATTTGTTGGCTATTAACCGAGAGCTTATTTCTGTATATTTTAAAGAAGACTTAGTATAAGAGAGATGGTAGTATCGTCTTGGTGTCATTTCTGATCAAAGCGACCATCCTCCAATGTCCCAACTTACCCCGCAGGCGGGGTGAGTCGGGCCAGGGGTTGGGGCAAGTCGGTGCACTAGGAAAAACAGTTTATCTAAACACATTTTTGTTCATGTTTCACATGAGCAGTCATCGCTTATCCATGCGGGCATGTTTATCAACATTTAATGACAAAACGCAAACGTTTGCAGTACTCCTGCGGCAAACAAAAACGCACACACGCAAAATGTGTATGTATGACCAGCTTTAGGTGCTTTTACAAAATGCACCAACCTCACTCATTCGCTCTCCGAGTAACAGTTTTGACGGATGAAGATTCTGCTGCCCCCTGTGCATAGCGTATGTTCCCAATATTCACACTGCAAGCATTTCTCTCTCGGCTTGCTTTTGACAAATGTAGGAGGGCTCCTTCTCCTGTGCCGCCGCCTATTGCCCGGGCGGCTATATATGTTGGCAATGAATGAACTTCCGCCAATGAATGGACTGCCGCTCCGAGACCGACTGAGTCAGAGTCGGAAGTGGAACTCTGCCGCTGCGAGCGCCCGCGGCTACAGCTCACGCGCCGTGGGCTATTTGCCGTGCTCTGCGGCGACGGCTGTGGCAGTGATGGCGGCTGCTGATTGGCTGGCGCTGCGACGCCAGGGCAGCCGCCGATTGGGTTTTCTCCTGGAACCTTCTCGGACGAAAGGTCGTCTGAAGGTCATTGTCATTGACGGGGGGATTCGGTCTGGAGCGGGGGGCTAGGCTTGGAATTGGGACTTGAACTGAACTTTGACTTTGGCTTCGAACTGGTCTTGCTTGCCAATACAATGTGACTAATGTTTTGCATAAAGTCTATCACGGCCATGTCTACACAAACATGCCCAACTTGCCCCACATCAACCTGGCCCAACTAACCCGAAGCGCCATTTTTATTTTGGAACCACGTGACCAATTCACAATGATTTGGCGAAGAACGGTTGAGAGTGTACTCATAGTCATAGCCAAAATGTCCGCAGGTCTCTCAGGCGTAGCGAATTTGCAATGTTTCCACTATCAATGACACTAGAAGAGAATATTTTCAAAGCAAGAAAATCACTTTTGGTACCTGAAAACACATTTTTAGCGATTATTAACCCTCGCCCATGTAGGGGGGGGGGGGTTGGTGCACCCCCTGAGGTTTTTCTTAGCTACACGCCGAACCGTTTCAGATAGCCTGCTCAAATTTTCAGTACCCTATGGGGCATCCTTTGCGGAACTTTTGGTATTTTTTTTTTGTCAAGGTCATGTCAGGTCACGGAGTTATGACGTCATAAAGGGAACAACCTCCGGCCAGATTTACGCTAAATTGGAGATTGCTTCACATTGGTATAAATGCCGACTGACCTGACACACTGATGGATTGTTTTAGAATCATAACTGGCTGATTTGACATTGGCACAATGTCCGTTGACCTTTTCAAGGTTACTAAAGGTCAAGATCAGATCAGTGACCTCGGTTGACCTGTAATGACTTCTTGCACTTGTATGCCTTTTCGGGGTATTTTGATGCCCTGAATTCGAATTTGCTATCCATTTCAGGCATCGTCGGTTGTTTCTTGTAGTTCATTTTGGGTCAGGGTCAGGTCAGTGACGTCACACGCCTGACGTGACCCAGTGCACAAATGACCTTGCAGACTTCCGATGCTCCCAACGCATCATTTTTAGAGTTATGACATCGAAATATACACCAAACGATAGAGAATTGATCAAGGATCACGATAGTGAAGGTTTCAAGTCGATATCTCTTACCGTTTTGCCGCAATCGGCGCGGAAATCTGAAAAAGTTAGATTTTTCCGAAAATTTGACCTTTGACCGGTCATAAGTAGGTCAAATGTTGACCTAGGACCAAAAAATATACCACCAATCGCGAGATCTCGCTGAGAGCAATCCGCTGGTCTTTTCCGCTAAGCTCTACGACGCTCCGTGTTCAAACGCCAGGGGTGTCGCACCAACCCCCCCCCCCCTGCATGGGCGAAGGTGGCAAAACACCGTTTACGGGCGAGGGTTAACAGTACTTACCTCAGGACGCGCCGACACCACGTTGACAAACAGACGGCGTTACTGTGCATGCGCAAAATAAGCTTGAACGCCAACTGCCGAGAAGTATTGGAAATATCCCTTCCGTCCCAACTTACCCCTGGCACCAACTAGCCCCGGTCTCCCCTACTGCGTCCCTCCCCTGTTAACCCGCGCCACGCTGGGCTATTCAGCCATACGCTCCCCGCTTGGGGGGGGGGGATATTCTGCATTTCTGGCAAACTTCCGAACGAATGGTCGCAAAAAGAAGCGGTAAACGGTACTAAAGAACTTTGAACAAAAAAGACCTTTGAAACGAAAAATATTTTGCCAAGTAGGTCAAAGGTCATATATTACTGAATGGCTCTGGGAAAGAAAAATGGAAACCAAGGTCTTTAAAAATCGTAGGCACCAGGCGTAGCCGAATGCCGGAGTTTTTTTTTTTTTTTTTTGAAGACCAATGTATCAATTTTCCAGAGTAAGCTCAGTAAGATGTTCAAGATATTTCCCATACGTAGTCGTTTAACGTTGTAGTCGTTGACCTGCAGTTCCTTGAAGTTCGTTCGTCGTTTAAGTTTGAGTTGAGGAGTGGTGCAGTTTTAATTTGAACCTTTGGGGGGAGGGGAGTGTGAATTTTATGACCGGCTGTATTTATGGTTTCATTGCTGGTGCCTCGACGTAGAGGCGATGGTGCGCGTTTCGCATTGACCATTGACATCAATTCTTTTTGCACAGGGACTCCACAGTGCCCGGATGGATTCACGATCAATCCAGAAAACCAACTATGCGATGGTATGTCATCGCGCAAGGATTCTTCCTTGAGTGGTTTGAGCCGTACAGGGTATCCGGAAAGTCCTGGCGTCATCTTTGAACGCCGTCTAACGCGCGCTGTGATTATTGGACCTTTGGCCAATCACCATAGGTATGACACCTCGTTGATCGCTCTGCTAGGGTCGTGTAAATATGACCTTGAAATCGTTTTCAGTGATATGTAGATGGGCGAGAATGCGACTTGTCGCGGAATACCTGCGCGCGGCGGCCGGGTGCGGCTTAAAGGGACCCTCCCACCTTCAAAAAAAGTTAATGAATTGGCATGAAAGTGATGTCGCTCGGTTCAGAAAGAGCAAAAACGAATACCTACACCAAATTTCACCGAAAAATATTCACCGGTTTTCAAGATATTACTCTTTTACTTTTGTTTCCTTTTTGGGAACTCCGCTGTTCCTAGCGACTTCATTTTGGAAGTGCGGTGTTTGCGGCAGATGTTGCGCGCAAATAGCATATATCCACCACTGCTTCACAAAGATGTTAGTATAAGGTTTTAAAATCGTTAGATCACCGCTGACGTCACAAATTCTAAGGGGGCATCCTAATGCATTAGCCCCTTAGAATCCGAAAACTGCAAGTTTGAAATTCCGTATCTCCGAATTAAAGCATATTTCGACGTTGTGAGTGCCCAAACCGGTATTTGCAGGCCATGGCCACCAATATGGCTATCTCAACTCAAAACTAATGTTAAGGTGGGATGGTCACTTTCAACGAGGCGCGAGATGCAACGCGATGAGGCATTTTTCGGCGAATGGTCGAGGAGGTAAAGTTTTATTCCGACTCGGGAATTCCTGAGAAAATTCTTGAGAAAAAATTCCTGAGAGAATTCCTATCCTCAGGCCGGTACGACCCGGTATGTCAAAACTGCCGAGAACGGAGCGGCATTTCAGCGCGGCAATCGAAGAAAATCCAGAGGTCTGATGGACAAAAATGTTCCATGATCTTCGTCGATGTCAAATTGTAGCCCCTGCGTGTACCGCCGGTCACCGCTAGGCGCGTTTACTTCCACCGGTCACCGCTAGATGCTGTGAACCGCGAGTTTCAGTTTTTCTAATAGATGTCGCTTTTACCAGTCTCGAAATTGCTAAAGCCTTTGATTAAGTTGTGCGCCCCCCTTTTTAACGTTCCGTTCGCTTAAACTGCTGTATTGTTTGGACAATTGTATTGGCAATGTGTATATTGAAAACCATATGTATTCGTTTATTACATTCGATGTTCTCGCCACATGTGTGCAATACTAGATAACTAAGTTCGTATGTAAAACTATATATGTCTCGATTTTGTGGCGAAATACAAGAGATATCTGTATATTACAGTGTTTCTACTGGCTACTCCAGCCAGATTGGTGACCCCGCGTTCTACGCACCATGGGATCGCTATCCCCTCGTGTTCCCAGTCACACCGACACTGGCCTGCACCCTGAGCTATCTCCTCCAGCTCTCTTTGTGTAGGAAGGAAGTGGCGGATGGTGTGTCTCCACGAGGATCCTTCTTTTGTGCTGAGTGTAACTGGATAACGCCGACTACTACTGCTGCACTACGATCCAGCTACTTCATCGGCTCACCTTACCGTCCGGCTACCTCTGCAGCTGCACCGCAGCACCTGCCGATCGCCGTGTCGCCGTCGCCGCCACCGATCTTCCCGACCATTGCTCTCGGCAGCCATGGACCAGAAGACCCAGCCTGCCGGCGCCGGTGCAGCCGCCGGCACCGGTGCAGCCGCCGGCGCCGGTGCAGCCGCCGCCGCCGCCTCGCATGCCGCTGCTGCTGCTGCTGCCGCTGCCGCCCAACCGGACTACCTCCGCGTGGCGACCGCGCCACGCAGCCACGTCGCGCCGCCGCGCTTCTTCGAGGAGGACCCCGTGATCTGGCTCGTCCAGCTCGACCTCTTCTTCTCTCAGGCAGCTGTGGACGATGAGCTCAGCCGCTTCCGGATCGCCGCTACTCTCCTTCCTGGCCACCTCCTGCGCGACTTCACCGACATCCTCCGCAACCCTCCTCAAGACCGACCTTACACCATCCTTTCCAACGCCATCCGTCAGCGGTTCGGCAAATCAGTCGAACAGCGTCTTCGCTGCCTGCTCTCTGGCCAACAACTCGGCGACAGGCGTCCTTCCCAATTCCTTCGGCATCTCCTGGACCTTGCTGAAGCTGAAAGCTCACAAGATTCCCCGCTCATCCGCCAGATCTTCCTCAATGCACTTCCGCCTCGGACTCAGCCCTTCCTCCAGTGCCTGCCGCCTGGGACGGACCTTGCGACCATCGCTAGCACTGCCGACCGACTCCTGGAGCTTCCGCAGCAGTCGGACGTCGCTGCACCTACCTCAGGCCTTCTCGCCGCGGTATCGACTTCTGCGCCTGCTGCAGCCTCACCTGCTGCTCCTGCAGGACCCTTCCACCTCCAAGACCTGATGAGCCAGCTGCTGACTGGTATCACGGCCCTCACAACATCAGTCGCCACCCTGGTGGACGAGACGCGCCGCCGAGAGAGGTCTGCATCCCGTGCCCCCGGCCGCGCTCGCCACCGTCCACCACGCGACCTGTCTGCTGCTGCCCGGTCACCCAGCCCTGCAACCAACACATCTACCGGCGCTGGTGCTTCCTACTGCTGGTACCACCACAAGTTCGGTACCAACGCGCGCTCATGTCAGTCACCGTGCTCGTGGTCTGCAACCGCAACTCAGACCTCGGGAAACCAGCAGTAGGACAGGTGACACAGACGTCTGCACCTGCCCTGCTCAACCCTGACGTCCCTCCAGCCAGCGGCCTTCTGAGACTCAAGGACAACAACACTGGTATCACCTTCCTCATCGACACTGGAGCCGAGTACAGTGTTCTTCCAGCGACACCCACCGATCGTGCTCGCGGAACCAACGGACTGGATCTGCAAGCAGCCAACAACAGCAGCATCCAGACCTATGGTCAGCGCATGCTCACGCTTTCTCTCGGACTCAGAAGAGATTTCAACTGGATCTTCATCATCGCGGACGTCTCCCATCCTCTCCTAGGAGCCGACTTCCTCTCCTCGTATGATCTCCTCGTCGACACTAAGAGAGGCCGTCTCATCGACCACCTAACTGAGTTGTCTTCACCTGCTTCCCACTCTTCAGTGCCATCCACCGGACTGACAGCCGTCGTCGGAACCGACAACCCAACATTCCTTAACCTCCTTCGAGAATTCCCCAGCCTCACCCAGCCGTCACATCACCCGGAGCCACAGCACTCAGTCCGACATCACATCGAGACTACCGGCCCTCCGGTCTTCTGCCGCCCACGCCGTCTGGATCCAGCTCGACTCGCCACTGCCAAGGCAGAGTTCCAGCGCCTTCTCAGTCTCGGAGTCATCCGACCCAGCAGCAGTCGGTATGCATCACCGCTGCACATGGTGCCCAAGTCGTCTGGAGATTGGAGACCCTGTGGTGATTACCGTGCACTTAACCGCATCACAGTGCCTGACCGGTACCCACTACCACATCTCCATGACTTCACTGCCTGCCTCGCTGGGACATCGATCTACTCTCGGCTCGACCTCGTCAGGGCCTTCAACCAGATACCGATGGCCCCAGAAGACATCGCCAAGACAGCGATCACAACGCCCTTCGGCGCCTTCGAGTTCCTCCGTATGCCGTACGGTCTCCGGAACTGCGCTCAGACCTTCCAAAGGTTCATGGATCACATCCTCCGTGGCCTGGACTTCGCCTTCGTCTATGTAGACGACATCCTCATCGCCAGCAGCAGCATCTCGGAACATCTCACACACCTCCGAGAGGTCTTCAGCCGTCTTTCCCGCAACGGTGTGCTCCTCAACCCATCGAAGTGCGCCTTCGGCATGGAAAGCATCTCCTACCTCGGCCACCAGATCTCCAGCGGGGGCATCACTCCTCTCGACGATCGAGTCAGTGCGATCAAGAACTTCGACCGTCCAGAGTCAAAGAAGAGCCTCAAGAAGTTCCTGGGGATGATCAACTTTTATCACCGCTTCATCCCACACGCTGCTGCTCTTCTGGCACCTCTCCACGGCCTGACTGCCTCAGACGACCGAGCTGCTTCAGTCACGTGGACCCCAGAGGCAGACGCCGCCTTCTCTGCAGCCAAAGCCGCCCTCGCTGACGTCACCCAGCTCGCTCATCCCGTCAAAGATGCAGCTCTGAGCCTCAGCACTGACGCCAGCAGCACGGCAGCCGGCGCCGTGCTCCACCAGCGAGTTGGTGGTTCTCTTCAGCCTCTCGCCTTCTTCTCGCGCAAGTTCACGCCCACCCAACGCCGCTACAGCACCTTTGGACGGGAATTGCTCGCCATGTACCTCGCCGTGCGACATTTCCTGCCCTATCTGGAAGGACGCGACTTCGAGATCCTCACGGACCACAAGCCGCTCGTCTTTGCTCTCAAGGCCAACGGCAACGCCAACCATTCTCTCCGTGAACAACGTCACATGGACCTGATTCTGCAGCACACCAGCAAGATCGGACATGTTCCTGGACACCTCAACCCGGTAGCTGACGCCATCTCACGGATCAGCTCAGTGTCTGCGCCGGCTTCTGCCGCAGCTACACCCTCACCCGGCCTTCTGAGCCTGGCCGACATCGCCCTACACCAAGCCAACGATCCTGACCTGCCGAAGCTGCAACAATCCTCATCTCTGGTCATCCGTGACTTCCCAGTCCCTGATCATCCGCATCTACGTCTCTGGTGCGACACCTCAACGGCCACACCTAGACCTGTAGTCCCAGCCAGACTCCGCCCTTCCATCATCAAGAGCTTCCACGACTTGTCTCATCCTGGCATCAACGCTACGCGTCATCTCATCTCATCGAGGTTCATCTGGCCCCACATCAACACGGACATCCGTGCCTTCGTCCGGAGCTGCCAGCACTGTCAGCGTGCCAAGATCCAGCGCCACACGAAGCCACCCATGGGCAGCTTCCAGCCACCTGACTCTCGCTTCCTGCACATCCATATCGACCT